TTTTGCAGAAACTTTGACAACTGAAGGCTTCCTGAGATGTTTTTGAGCTCCCCTGAAGCTCGCCTTTGATTATTCAACAACAGGAAGACAACAGTTGACACTGAGTTGACAAAAAGAGTTTTGGTGGAAAAGTAAGATCAATGAGAATAGCAAGATCTAGAGATAAAAAATCAGCAGTGTTACTCACTGTCCCTGTCATAGGTTATAATGCTGGAGCTAGATAACCTGGTTCATCACATCAGCCTGCACAGACACTCAAAATGAAACTAACTTTTCTCATTTCTTTTTTTTTTCTTTTTTTTTTTTAAGTTAACATCTTGTGCTTCTAAAATACAGACGACCTTTTGAATCTCCTCTCAGGGTTTATCCCGGCATCAATAGGAGATTGTAGGGATTCACAGAAAGCTGCTCAGTCCGGGCCTTCACACGGCTTAAACGCTCCTCTTCCGGGGCTGTGTGTGAAGGCTGAGGCCGGTGTTAAACTGCGGAGCCCGAGGACGGGACGCCTCAGAAATGTGGGTCACTGGATGTTTGGGTGGCAGCTATGCAAGATGATCCACGTAGAGCACCCGGCCAACCGGCCCTCCCGTTTCACGCAGTTCTCTGACAGCTTCCCCGCAGACTGTGGTGTGGAGCTCCAAGTGGTGTGAAACAACAAAACTGACACAAATGTCTCCCCATAAACTCACCGGAGCACAAATCACAAACTATTAGCCTCTCTGAACTTAGTTCACCGGCATGCAGCTACCCCGGTTGTGTCTCGGTAAACTGCGGCCACTCAACTGGAGACACACTCAACAGCTCTGCGTTCAGAGTCTGTGAAGTCCACATTTTTTACACTGTTGTTTCGTTATTAAGCTTTCTGTTTTTCGTCTCCAGCGTCCGCGAAGCTCAAAGTTGAGTTAATTTAGCAGAAATGTACTAAAGTGACCCTCACCAGAAGCGATGGAGGCTGCTCCGACCGGAGTCCCCGACCTCGGAGCGTCTTTTTCTCAGGCCGGATGCCGTCGTTCCCTCCGAGCGTGAAAAAAGAAATACGGCGAAGCAGCTGTTTCTGCTTTGTGGTTTGTGTGAGGTCGATACTTTCTCCTCCGCAGTGTCGCTTATACCAGCGGGGTCGTAGCGTCCAGCACCATGATTTGTGGCTTACGCTTCAAAGTTTCTCTTCTTGTAGAGGGCAGGAAGCTCCGTCGAAAGGTTTTTCGTCGAGCAGACCATGGCAGAGGGGACGGCGGCGATTACTAGTTGATCTGTGTCAGTCCCTCCACGCCAGCTGACGCTGCCTTCTGCCACCACACGGCCGCTTGAGCTATCGAGTCGTCACAGTTTCAACAGCGCCATCTACCGGCAGCTGCGAGAAAATACACAACACCAAGTTTGATTCAATGGCGACATCTGCTGGAGAATATTGATATGATGAAAATTCTGAAGATAGAAAATAAAATCACACCCTTTGAACCTTTTCATATTTTCTCACGTTACAAAGGTGATCCAACACAGAAAGTACAATTCTTAAAAGGCCAGAAAGAATTGTCTGTCATAAAAAAAAATGAAAGCAACTTTTTACTCAAAAACAGACTTAGTCAATAATTTAAATGGGTTAAATGTGGTTAAGGGTTTTCAACGAGAGTTCTCAATCTGTGTCAACAAGTTAGGAAATTGTACAAATTTGAGACCCTTTTTCAGACATTTTTAATCAAATGGCATGTTATTGCTGAGCAGGTAAAAAGAAAATAATTCACAATAAAATTATTTTTGCACTTTTACTTTAAGAAAGTGCCCCCCAAGTGTTTTCAAACAGGTGATTTTGTTCCATGGTGAAAAGTCTGGACAGTGTTGATTTAGGTTAAATTCAGGCAAAATCTTTGAAAACTCGGCTGAGCGATGACGATGAACGTGGATGTTTGCACGTTCACTTGAAACAAGAATGCCTTTTGTATGGGGTTGAGTTCGTGCTAAGAGACCCCTGACCTTTGACCCGTATTTCAGGCTAACTTAACGTTGCAATTCAGTTTCATCCATGCAAATCAGAATCACATTTCTCTTCAGCTTTCGCACCGAACTAAGTGAAACATTCCCACCTCTGTCTTGCCTTCTCAAGCCCTCCCTGCAATTTCCTCTCACTTTCCCGTGAGCCAAAGCACCACCAGTTTCAAATTCCTCAACAAACATTAGGACATTCACTGTTTTCTGGGGCGCAGCCACAATCCACGTTGGAAAACAGTCAAGTATGCACAGGGCTGCTCACTCCCGAGATCTATTTATGCAAAGCAGACTGAGTGGGGTGGGGGGCCCCCGTACGAAGGGGCCCACACTCAGGAGGCCTTTGGCTGGAAATCTGTGCATCAGCTCAGCTGTTTTCTGTCACTGGAAGTTAAATATTTATTTGTTCCTTGTCCGTCTTTTTCCTACCGCTGGAATGACTCAGACCTCTTCTTCATAATCAGCCTGAATAACTGGGTTTGTATCCTTCTCTGACTGAAAAGCCAATTTAAATTAACCTTATTTGCCATATGTAGCGTGGAAATCTAGCACATCGCTCCTGAATGCACTATGAGCTCATTGCAGGATCATACTGTGGGGGGCACTTTTCCTGAGGGGGATGCAGGGAAGCTGATCAGAGTTGATGGAAAACTTTAGCTAAGGGTTCAAAATTTTATCTCAGTTAAATAAGGAAATCAGATGATTATATTGTTTCATAATTTATGCACTTTCCTGTTACTTTCTCTCTTGCTTTTACTCTCAGATCTGCAGGGTCTCTCTCTCTCTCCCTCTCTCTTTCTCTCTCTCTCTCCTGACAGGTAGTCCAGATTTCCCCGAACTCTTCCACCCTCCTCTAATCCCAGTCTCAGTCATCTCTGTCCCTCCTGCTTGTTTTTCGACGCTGGTTTCCCCCGAACACATCAGGACACGGAGTTTAACAAAAAATGTCCTGGACGTATGCAACCCTCCTGGTTCTCCTCGCAGTGCTGCTTGCGTTGAGCTGTGAGTTTAATGCTTACCAAATCTTATGCCAGGGACTCTGCTGATATCTGTTTTGTCTCTGTTTTACTGAGATGTGCCTTTTCTAAATTTATTTTTAGTCAGACCTGTCTCACTTCTGTCTCCAAACGCAGTGTCTCCAGAGACAGCCGAATCTGCAGCTGCGGATAGCAGCACGAGAAATGTAAAAAGTCCAGCAGGTGTGGAGCTGCATTTCACTACCGTGTGTGACCTCACGTTTTGTCCTTCAATGTTGAAAAAAAAAACCAACAACACCAACAATCTATCCCCCCACCTTAGGTCAGCTGAGGAGGATCTTCATGAAAGAAGCTGATGCCTCCAACTTCTTCAGGAAGCGCAGCAGGCGAGCTGTGAAATCCCAGGACGAGATCAACGGTGAGTTTGGTGCAAAGTGTCCGGTCAGAGAGGCTGAGGCATATCGCTGCATGTGGTCACTGTGGGAATCTGTGTGTTACTATCAAGGAGTTTTACACAAGAGGAACGTGGACCAGTTTGTTCTGTTGAATTCATTTAGAAATGAAATGCAGATCAGAACAAAATAAAGAAATGTAATTATGCGCACTAATTTATTATTATTATTATTATTATTATTATTATTAGTAGTAGTAGTAGTAGTAGTAGTAGTAGTAGTAGTAGTAGTA